TACTTCCAGGATTATTTTTAAAAGCTTAAAATTAAATGTTCATTTTACAGTGTTACAGCTGCAGATTTTCCCGATCTAGTCAAAACACACACCCAGTCAACAGCGTTAACAAACAACCGAATTTGCACCTCTTAATACAACCTTGAAAGTTCTCAGCAACTGACAACTTGCAATACAAAATCACTTAACAAATCCAACTCGGTATAAGGAACAATAAAACACATTAAGCGAAACTTAATCTAAACAGAAACGTATCACGCGCAAACTGTGCGTTTCTGGAACAAATTGTCATTTCGTTTTTACTTTCCGAGTTACTGACAGCAATCCCGCCTCGCGATACATTTCATCACACTCTGTTCGTCCGAAGTTTATTCACACAAAGATAAGGTCACTGGGAAGCCCCTTGCAGTGCTGAGAAAGGGGAATATAAGTTCACGGCCTTCGGTGTCTTTTCATTGCCTCTTATTTTCTTATTTAATCATCACCATGAACTTCCTTTCGTTATGGGAGACCTGAAGCTTTGTTACAAAATACACAGAGTAAGCAAAGCTGTCCCTGTAACAGGCCGTGGAGGCCCATAGTGTCGTGAGACGTCGAGGCTCCCACATTTTCTAGACAATCGACTCACAGATGGTGGTGAGGTTGTCAGCCCTACACGCCAAGCTATCCTTGTAACAGACCGTGGAGGCCCATAGTGTCGTGAGACGTCGAGGCTCCCACATTTTCTAGACAATCGACTCACAGATGGCGGTGAGGTTGTCAGCCTTACGCGCCAGCCGCCCTTTATTCCCTAGGAAGATTCGTGGTACTCATTCCTGTTAGACGCTGAGTCGACCCCAGGGCCATCGTGCGACTGGAAGGATTAGACCAACTGAAAAATCTAATAACATCATCAGGAATTGAACGTGCAACCTTTCGGCTTGTAGCGTAGTGTCTCAACCAACTGCGCTACCGTGTGCCCCCAAATAAACACAGTGAGCTCAGTGTAATTAACGCTAAAACACCATAATCCGATTATATCAAGGCGTGTCACTAATTACGGTCCTGAGTCAGTTCCATGCATCTCCGATTGTCACAACCCACATCCATAAAAGCAAGATTAATGTTATCTTTCTAGCTCCGTCTCAGCCCTCTACAGTGTGCATATGTCAAGAAATTCTGTATCTTATGTACTGTTTCCCCGTCCTAGCCACATACACCCAGCCCATCACAGCCTTCACATTTTACTATCCTAACATTACCAGCTGAATTTCAGAAACCGTTGAATTCCTCGTTATACAAAATTCAAAACTGCTCACTTACTTCCATCTATTTTTGTCATCACTTTATTTTCAAAGACCGCCTCTGTGGGCTAGTGGTCAGAGTTCCTGGCTATAGATCCAGAGGTCCCGGGTTCGATTGCCGGCGTTACAAGATTTTCTTAGAAGTAGTGGGTCTGGAACGGGGTCCACTCAGCCTCGTGATGATAACTGAGGAGCTATTTCAAGGAAATAGCGGCTCCGCTCTAAAAAACCGAGATTAACGGCCGTGGGAATCCGTTGCGCTGACCACGTGACACCCTCTATCCGCAAAAGTTGTCACTAACTTCGCCGATAAGAGGCGGTGGCTCGGTTCGCTAGCGGACTACAGGCTACGGAGTTCTTTATTTTCAAAAATTTATCTTTTCCTTAAAGTAACAGGCCTCGTTGTACACCAATACAAAACAAATGGCAAAATTACTCTCTATGCTATCCTAATCTTAGGTTTTACAAATCAGACAGGCTATCAAGTTTTCGAAATGATTGATAACTTGGGAAAGCAAGGCGCAGATGAGAAATTATAAGAATTTCTGGGAAGAACTAATCGACTACGTTACTTCGATACGACACGGACAGCTTAGAAAATGACGCGTCAAAAAAATCTTCTAATGTAGCGTGTATTGTAGCTAGAACGTTTACCGAGCTGTTGCCTAGCACCGAATGGAAGGATACACTTAACCAAATACAGACACACATACTAATGGGAGGGATTTATGAAGTACGCCGTTGAGATGGGTTCAGGTGCCACGATATACATACCAAGTTTGATACAGATCGGTCCAGACATTCAAAAGTTAATGGACGGGGGGTGGGGGACAGACATAGAGGATGGAGAACACTTAAGTTTACTTTACGAAAACAGACTAATGGGTCTACAAAAACTACACATGAACGAAGCAACAAACATTTCTTAACTAGCTGAGCGACTGTTAGCTTCTTAAGTACTCTGTTCTATCGAGTTAATATCGTTACTTTTCTACTTTGTTTTTTATTTGGTGCGGTGGGATGCTCAGTTCACTAGGCACGCGGACCATCTGTGGGCGCAATGTACCAACCCCAATCGACTGACGAGTATGGACATGTTAAGGCGAAACCGGGGGGGGGGG